GAAGATTCTTTGTCGACTCTCCTCATATAGCCTGTATCCTTTCTGTGTAAGGCTGTAGCCGACAAATCGCATCTTGACTGCCTTTTGGTCAAGTTTCTGGCGTGAAGCATCAGGAACATGAGCGTAAGCAGTACAGCCAAAGACACGAAGATTAGACACATCTGGCTTCTTTCCATACCATCTTTCGTAAGGGGTTACCGCGGTCGCAGTCGTGATGACTCGGTTTCTTACATAGGCCGCATTGCAAACTGCTTCTGCCCAGAAAGCTTTGGACAGTCCAGCATGCAGAATCATAGAGAGAGCTGCTTCTTGAAGTGTTCGGTTCATGCGCTCAGCTACCCCATTCTGCTGGGGTGAATGTGGCACTGTAGTCTCATGGCGAATTCCTTTCTCCTTTAGAAAATCTTGGAACTCGGTGGATGTGTATTCACCACCATTGTCTGTCTGTAGTGTCTTAATCTTGCATTCTGCCTGGTTTGTCACGGCTGCCTCCCACTCCTTGAATTTTTCTAACACTTCAGACTTATACTTCATTGGGTAAACAGTGACACATCTGGAGTAATCATCGATGAAGGTGACGAAGTACTTTGCACCTCCAAAGCTTTCAGTCTTCATCGGACCGGCAACATCACTATGGACCAACTCTAACCTTCTCGTTGACTTGATTTCTCCCGCTGGCTTAAATGGCGCTCGGTGAGCCTTTCCTTCAGCACAGGGCTCGCAAACACTTAACTTGCCAGTTCCGGGTATGTCCGTACCTGTAATAAGTTCCTTTGAAGCCATGATTTTCATTTGACCGGCATTTAAATGCGCCATTCTTTGGTGCCATAGATCCAGTTTGGCACCAGTTTCATTAGCAATTGATGTTCGGTTTCCATGTTTGTTAACTTTGCAATCAAGACGGTACATGTTCCCAACAAGTCGACCACGAGCTACAACTTGTCCCTTCGAATCCTTAATCCAACAGAGGGTGTGGCCAAATTGCACCACCTTGCCTTTAGATGCTGCTGCACGTGCACTAAAAAGATTTGTAGCTAATTTTGGAACATAGAGTACCTTTGTTAGAATTGATTTCCGTTGGTCTTTCTCTTTATTTCCAAGTATCATAGTGATGTCTACTTGTCCATATCCGTACGCATTAACAGAACGACCATCACCAAGAGCAACAGGTTCTGGTTCAGGGAATTCACAATAATTTACCAATAAGTCACGATTGGCAGTCATGTGCTGCGAAGCACCGGAGTCGATTATCCAACAACTATTCCCTTCAGCTGCAATCAATCCTACTACGAATACATTACCCCCAGAATCCTCGTTCCTTTTCCCATCAGCATCTGCTGGAGTTGCTTTATGTTTGTATGAATTTCCCGGTTTATTTCGGTTTTCATGCTGCCCTTTCTTTCTTTTCGGACAATTTCTGATCACATGATTCTCTTCTCCGCATCCAAAGCACTTGATAGGCTTTCGACTTGTCTTTTCATGCTGTAAGGCAGTTTCACCCTTGTCGACTCGATCACCACCATCTTTGCCCTTGTATAGGCCACGTTTTTCTTCTTCACTCATGAGTGCTTGATGCACTTGAGTTAGGCTAAGCTCGTCTCCTTTTGCAGTCAATGCAGTTGTTAGAGTGTTATATGATCGTGGAAGGCTGAGTAACAGGGCTACGATATGTTCATCTTCAGGAATAGGCGCCTTGATGGCTGCCAGTTGGTCAGTAATTTCTTTCATGCGGCGTAGATGATCATCGAGGGAATCACAATCTTTCATTTTCAAAGAAAAGAATTTCTGCTTCAAAAACAATTTGTTTGCTACAGTGTTTCTTTCAAAACGTTCCTTCAGTTTGTCCCAAATTTGCTTTGGCATTCAGTAATGAGATGTACAAGATCCGAATTTATACTCGTAACAAGTAGAACTCTGGTCTTCTTCTGAGCCTTTTCGAAAGCTGTTTGAGCCGATGAACTTGATGAACTGCTTTCTGATAAAGCCGGGCTGGTTGCCGTTCCATCAACGTGACCCCACAACTCTCTAGCTTCCAATATAACTTGCATTTGATATTTCCATACTTGCCAATTTTTAACTCCCTCTAGTTTGTCGATAAATAACTTGTCTTCTTGAGCCATTTTGAACGTTTAAATCCAGCAGAAATTTCTTTCATTAATAACACGCAGTTCATAGAGTGTCTGGGCCCATAACCTGTTCAATTTAGTTTATAATTTTAATATAAATCTTCGGAAAAGAATATAAACTTTATATTTACACCTCGAGCACACAAACGTGAAACGTAACAGGAACGTACAAAACTTGAGCCCGCGATAAACAACGCGGTTATTAATAAGAACACAGCTAACCCAATATAGTGTTATCAATTAAAACGTTAAAACGTTTCTAAACTGTTGAGTGCTATTTACAACACATGCCCCCAGGAAAATGTTTGAATTTAGAGTCTCTGAAATGCCATTTCCTGGACTTTGTGGGAAGATTTGACAGAAATCTGATGGTCAGGTGTAGTAGTACTTAAATTATGCAATGCTAACTAATTTCAGCGTTTAATTATTATTATTGGAAGTATTCCTCGCAGGGCTTTTCAATACTTATTTACAAGTGATACTTTTGACAGATTAATTAATGTTTATAAAAATAATTACAAAAGGAATTTATAAAAAGTTTAAATGTAGCACAATAAAATAAATTTCAATAAGAATAAGTTTCTTGCATGCATGTTAAACTAGTGTTTATATATACTATAAATATTCAAGTTTCAAAATATCGATTTAGTAAGAACTCTTTTAATTTGATTTTAAATGTTGCTAATGGGAGTTTTTTCAACTCATTGTCTAAACTATTCCATAACCCAACAGCTCTATATCGAAAACTTCTTTGTCCTGTTGTGGTTGAAAATAGGGGAATATGTCGTGCTTCATTGTTTCTTGTGGCGCGATTGATTAGTTCCTTACGTTTAAGAAATAGGTCGCACAGATATGTTGGAGCGAGACTATTTATACATTGGTAGATCATGACCAAATCTTTGAACAAACAGTCAACAGGTGCTCTTTAACAGGGAGCCAACCAATATCTTTAAGGATTGGTGTAATATGATCAAATTTTTTACCATTAGCTATAATTCTGCACGCAAAATTTTGGACGGCTTGTAGTTTCTTAATATATGAAGAACTCGTATTTGACCAAACTGTTGAACGGTAATATAATTTACCCATAACTACCGCGCAGATGATGTAAATCAGCGTCTTTTGATCAAAACAATGTTTGACACGATTAATTTGACACAGTTTAGCCATGCACTCTGATGAGAGCTGGGTTATATGTTCGTTATATGTCAAGTTGCGGCAATCTAATCCCAATTCTATTCTCTACTGATCTAGTGATCTGAATACATTTACAACTTACAGCCCTTTTATGCAATAACACACACATTACATGACGTAGTACCAAAGGTAGTACGGAGGGGCGGAGCGAGAAAGAGAGACTTGAACTTCGGAAAATATCGGTTCAAAACTGAACCGAAAATACAAGACTTGCTTTAATTTATTTCTGTCAGTGTTTATATGCATTGATCTAGCACAGTATAAATAACACGAGTTCCATTATATTAAATAATACAGAAAGAAATTGAAGGAAAACAATTAAAGCAAGTCTGCATTTTCGGTTCAGTTTTGAACCGAGATTTTCCGAAGTTCACAAGTCTCTCTTTCTCGCTCCGCCTCTCGCTCCGCCTCATTCCTAGGAATTTCGCCCCCCTTTAGGAAATTCGCCCCCTTTAGAAACTTCACCTTTTCTTTAGGATTTTCGTCCTCCGTTCAAAATTTCGCCCTTCCTAACAGTTGCATGGGATAATTGAATATTACCGCTTGGCTTTACTAATAATTTGAAATCAGTATCAATTCAAAATTGTTAAGACAGAGCTTGAAATAACAACCGATCAATGATCGGCAAAAAAGCAGGGAAAGACATGACTGCCGATCACCATGATCGGGAACTTTGGGAACGTTATTTCAATACAAACTTACAATTACGTGTATCGAAAGGACTTACACATTTACAGTAGATCAATAGGACTTATGACGCTTCACAGCACACCATGAATATTTTGCATTTTCAGTGTTAATCCTTAACTGCTCATTGTTAAAAAGTAATCACCGTAGTGGTTATTGTAATTATTGGTATTGTTTTGCATCCACGTTTTGTCGTTATCGGAAAATGTATGGCTTATAAGTTGTCACTATTTTTTACTTGCATTATTTCAATATAGTTTGTAAATCTCAGAAGCGAAGGGTATCAATCAATCAATCAATCAATCAAAATTTATTAAGCACCATTAACTAAACCAAATAATTATTTACAAAAGGTAATTTTACAAAACAATGGTGCAAGCTAACTGTAATAACCATATTAAAGGTTAGACGAGACAGTTAGCTTGTAATTATTATTAAAATCAAATAGTGAGAATAGCGCAGACGGTTAAATATCTTAAATATAAAATTGAAATCAAATTGTCATGCAAATTATCAATGAATATATTTTAAGAATATAATTCCAATATTGAAGAATACCAATTTCACTCATTATATTTCGATAATAATTTTTTTTAAATTTCTTTTTAAATTGAGATGGTTTTAGTTTCTTTGTCTCATCATCAATATCATTCCATAGTTTTGCACCAGAATATCTAATATTAAATTTTCCATAATTGGTTCTTATACGAGGAAGAGAATATGATGATCTTGAAGCAAGTCTGGTATTATAATTATGTGTATGATTAACAGGGAGAAAGAATGTATTAAATGTATCCGGCAAATTATCACTATGAAAATCATACATAAATAATGCATTATGATAAATGACAAGATCATGTATCTTTAGAATCTCAAGTTTAATAAAGAGCGGGTTTGTATGTTCATAATAACTAGAAAAAGTCATTAATCTAACAACTTTCTTTTGTAAAAGAAATAAAGGATTAAGAGAAGAACAATAAGTGTTCCCCCAAACTACCAAACCATATATTAAATATGGATAAATCAATGAGTAGTAGAGGTTCCTAAGAATATCACTGCTAACAAAATGTCTTATCTTTGATATAGCTCCAACGTTACGTTTTATCTTTTTTGAAAGCATTGAAATATGTGCCTTCCAGTTCAGATGACAGTCAATCACGACTCCTAAATAAGAGGTGTCAAATTCTTGCTTAAGTGGCTGACCATTCAGAGAAATTTTCACTTGATAATTAACTTTCTTTTGAACTGGATGAAATATAATATAATTAGACTTTTCTACATTAAGAGATAACTTGAGTGTTTGCACATAGCCATCGATGGACATGCGTAATTTGATTGTTGACAATAGTTTCTAATGTTACTAAATTTTTATCAGCATAAAAAAGATTTGAATCATCAGCAAAAAGTTGAATATCAAGAACACTAGTAGAGTTTCGAATATCATTGATATATAGCAAGAAGAGAAGAGGTCCAAGAACTGAACCTTGAGGTACACCACAAGATACATTTAATAGTCCAGATGAATTACTTCCTACTGAAACAAATTGTTTTCTGTTATCTAAGTAAGACTTAAACCAATTATATGATATACCCCTTATTCCATAATATTAATCCAGTTTCTGTAGAAGGATGTTGTGATTGACTGTATCAAAAGCTTTGGACAAATCTAGGAATATACCACAAGAGTAGTAACCATCCTCAACTGCCCTTTGTAAAATTGCATGTAAGGTAGAATGTTTTGATCGAAATCCAAATTGCTTGCTATGCAATATTGGAGTTGCCAATAGGCAATACTCCAATAATATACGTTTCAAAAAAGATAAAAAAGCTTTTAGTTTTGCAGAATTACATTCTCAAATGTTTAAAGGCGGATTTCCAGTCCTCGCACGAAGCTCCTCGCAGCTCGCTGCGAGTAATGCATGAGCACTTTCATCCAATCACAATGCTAAACCGTTAATTTTAATTAGATGCAAGCACTCGCAGCTCGCTGCGAGGAGCTTTGTGCGAGGACTGGAAATCCGCCTTAAGGCACTAATAAAATCAAAGTATCATAAACAGAGGTGTAGCCCGGCCCCCCGTGGCAAAATTTTGGGCCTCCTCTGATAAAATGTATTGTATAAAAAAGGGAATCCATGATTATATAGTTTCATGCTGTCAATAATGCAAAAATTCTGTAGAATATATTAATGCTGCGCATCAGTGTGAAACCTAAAATCTTGTTCGCTTATTTGCGGCACACAGCTTGAAACACATGTCTTTTCTAACCCTAATTATTTCAATATGTATTAAATGAGGGTTAGTCTGCGCACAGACTGTCCCTTAAATGAGGGTTAGATGAAGTTTAAACCAATGTGTCGACAATTAAAAGTGTCGCATGTGTCGACAATTAATTTTACCTAGCACTGCACAGAATGCCTTGCACGAACTTTGCGTCTCGAGTCACTCGCGGCTTGGCCCCACCTGGGTTTTTGCTGGCCTCCCCTGACCAAAAATCCTGGCTACGCCTCTGATCATGAAATTATTTGAATAAGCCACACCACACATATATAATGCAATTTTCTTTGCGGAAGTCAAGAACTTATTAAATCTTTTCAAGCTGCAATCGTTTTGTTTTTAGATCAAAAATTCAAAATTTATATGGGGAGGGGGCGAAATTCCTAAAGGGGGGCGATATTCCTAGGAGATTCGCCCCGGGGGGGGACGAATATCCTAGGAATATTGCCCCCCTTTTAAGAGGGGGGCGAATCTCCTGGGGAGGGGGGGGGGCGAATCTCCTGTGATACCGGTAAGCTACACGCGGTTTTGCGCGAGAATATTTAAAAATATTCTGCCGTCAACATCAACCATATTGCATCGGACATAGACGTGTTCGTTTTATAGCAATATGCAGTCAATACATGCACTTTTAATAAGTTAGTATGTTTTTCTGCTCATATAAATTGATACGATATTACTCTATCGGCCCGAAATACAGTATGTATTCAAAGTTTTTGTTTGCTATCAAATTGCTATAAACAGCATATCAAAGTCCAACCTCGCACGCCAGGGTCTTTTATTTCCGCACGTAGCCCGAGCGCAGGTAATAGACCTGGCTTGCGAGGTTGATCAAAGTTCAGACAAAATGTGTGTCAAATTACACATCGTTTATTAACGCATTATTGGCTTTATGGAATACTATAGTCCATAGACAGAACCTTCAGAATCTGTAGCACGTACACACAAAAGTGTACACACAAAAGTGCACGCACATTAGTTTGCTTTCGCCTTTTGTCAGTGTAATTTTAAAGAATGCAGAGTGCTGCGATGGGCGAATCACTCCCAAAAAATATACGAGAATTTTATAATTAGGCCAATTAAAAAATATTTCTGTTTTTTATGATCGGCAGTCGGCCCCCCAAAAATTGTCCACCCCGAAAATATTTTTAATAATCTATAATTACGCACGTTTAAATGATGTTTTTCGCAAGGTCGTGCTTACAGAGTAGATATGATCTCGCATTCGCATGGAAATTGATATTCAACTTCGAGAGCAAACTGCAAAATGATGCAGAGCGCACACATGCACAAAGCTCTGATAAATCTTTTTGAACTTCCAACTATTAGTCTTGACTGTGGCTATTTCTTGCACAAACGAAATGTATGAAATGGAAAACAGCCTTTAATCCGCTTTTTAAAAGGGAAATACGCTTTCTACGCTAAAAAATAATTAAAACTAATGAGATTATTGGAGTGATTTGACATAGTCGTCTGCCTAGGTACAGCCCATTTTCCAAATAAGTGAATATTACAGAAAATTGGTATTTCTGTAACGTTAAAAGACGTTTGCATGGTTGAACTCAATCTCGGTCCCAGGGTACTTTGGGCTGCACTTACGCGTATATAGCCAACAAAATGACGCAAACCCTACTCACCATTAATCATTGCGCTTCAGACAGTATGACCAGAACTCGATCGCAACGCATATCATGGGAATCAAAATCTGGGAAAAGCCTATCCCGTTTGACGGAGCGCCGTTATATTTTGAGTATTTCGAGTTGAAGAGCGAGGCACGTCCAAACGTCATTTTTTCAAAATACAAAAGCAAAATTCCTCACTTTTTGCTGCAGAGAGATGTAAAAACAGTCGGAACTAATCGGAAAATCTGGTTTGAATCCCAATCATTGTAGTATTCCCATGGAAAAAGTGTTTTTCTTGCAAATTTTTGCCCGAAAAGAAACTTTTGACCGAAGTTTTTTCACTGCTCTTCGACTCTCCTTAGTCCTTTTGAAAGCTGATTTTCTCGCACATCGGCTTCAACGAATCATAGACCTTCATCATAGGAGTTAGCCTTCCAGTTTACTTATAGTTCAATGGTGCTTTACCGTATCTGAAATAGCCTTCACCTTTCAGGTATAAATGCAATGTATCCCGCCGGGTGTGTCTCCTTTGCAGACATCCTTATTGCTCCAACCCTCCCAGGAAATGATCACTTCCCGAAATTCAGAAGGTTCGTTGTGATTGGTCGATTTGAGGGAATGGAATGTGCAGCTCAGTCCAATCCTCCTAACGTTCGTTAGAAGAAGAAGAATAATTTATTCACATTATTTACTTTATGAATATAGTAGGTGTGCTATCTGCCTAAAATAACCATAAGGGCTAACTGAATTAGGGAAGATGGATGGTTATAATTTATGGTGATGGTAGCGAAGCATGAATCCAGTAAAATTCATCAATAAAATATAATCCGATGAATACATCCGGTAATTTGACTAATTTTAGTAGTTTAATTGACTGAAAGACGTATCATAATGACATATGAAGAAAAAGTAATTAAGCGTATAGCCTTTTTTGCAAAACAAATAGGAGATGTAATGTGGTAGGATACGTTATGCCCCAAGTAATTACACCATAATTTAAAAATGGATATAATAATATACAGGGTGTATAAAAAAACTGAACAGATTTGAAATTGCTCTCAATTTCGCCAAACAGCTATTAGTATCCAGTTTTTGATATATTTATATATAGCTTCTTTGGGTACTTATAATGTAGAATAATGAAAAAATTTCTCGAACTCAAATTTTGTAAACCAGGTGTGTCCCGCGTAGCTCAGTTGGCAGAGCATTGGGCTAGTATTCCAAAGGTCGTAGGTTCGATTCCCACCGTGGCCGGGCATATTTTCAAGCTCGCCCGGTGTGGATATACACTCAGAGTAACATCACAAATATCATATTCACCTGAGTACACAACACCAACACAGAAAAAATCAAACTAAAAATGGCTTGCGCACGAAATTTAAAAGCTTTGATCATATTTTGAGTCCTAAGATGGAAAATATGTTGGGTTTTAAAGTACAAAATTTCATACAATTTGCTTTAGTTACATTTTTTTTCTTAAAAATCAGCAACCTATCAGCAATATGCAAATTAGGTAAAGGCATTAATTAATTAAGCATGCGAAAGGCTGATTTTTCAGTAAAAAATGAATAGTTAAACGGCTTAAACTAAAGAAAATTGTCCGAAATTTTGTACAGTAATTTAAAACCCAACACATTTTCCATCTATTAACTCAAAATATGATTAAAGCTTTTAAATTTTGTGCGCAAGCCATTTTTAGTTTGTTGGAAAAGACACACACCCCTGTTCACAAAATTTGAGTTCGAGAAATTTTTTTCATTATTCTACGACATTACAAGTACCCAAAGAAGCTATATAAATAAAAAAACATGATACTAATAGCTGTTTTGCGAAATTGAGAGCAAATTCATATCTGTTTATACACCCTGTAGAGTGAAATATAATAAAGTTTGATTTCTCCATATTTAGAGACAACTTGTTGGCACAAAACCAGGTATTCATTCTGAAGAGTAACAAGGTTTTCATGTTTATAAAACAAATTTGAATCATCAGCAAAGAGATGAAAGTCCAAGTTTCTTGAACATCTGTGGAAATCATTAATATATAAAAGAAAAATTACGCATGCAGTGGTCCAAGAACTGATCCTTGGGGTATGCCACAATTTATTATTGATAAGTCTGATGAAATATTATTCAATGACACGAAATTTTGTCTATTGGTAAGATATGAATCAAACCATTCCTTTGCTATTCCTCGAATACCTAGTCTGCGAAAGCAGACTGTTTATCTTTGAAAGATTCCACAAGAGTGAATTGAATTTTGTCAATAATACTGACATAAAATACAGTGACTAGTTGAATAATTTGTCCGAAATGTGGTCTAAGCGACAAAGCAAACAAAGATTTTGGACTAAAAATAATTTATTCAAATTTCCTTCGGTCAAAGTTTCTGAAATTTTGTATGTGTAAAGGGAATATCTAGTGAAAGATTGTATCAAAAATTTAGGGGGGGGGACTATAAATGCAGTTTTTTGTTCCATAAAACCTGTTTTATAGAAACTTTTGAAAATTGAATATATTGCAACAAATGACTAGTATTTTAAAATACAAAATGTCAGAGAAATTGACCGAAAGAAAAATATGTTATTGCATTACAAACGTTGCGCGGTCAAATACTCAAATGAAATATTTGCTTACGTGTAAAATTTTAACTCGACAAGACACGTCATTTCGTTACCAGTCCCATACTTAAACAGTTTTAGGGAGCAATTTTAAGTTGCTCACCTCTGCTGCTCTCTTGCTTCGTCTTATGTGGCTCCTCAACGGACAACGGAAATATTTCTGTTTTTTTCTATTTTTGTTAATCAAAGTTTGTTCAGTGGTGTTCAGTGTTTTATAGTTGAATGGGGTCGTTTTGCATGTGGCTCATTTATTATTTTTGGTGCCGACTGTGTTTAATTAATTATAGTTGTCTTGCATGTTTGTCTGTGTGTCCTTTTAACTTTATTTGTTTTGTCTGTCTTAATTCTTTAAAAAAATTGATATATAATATAATATTGATATGTAAATATTTAGCAAAACCTTCCTAGCCTAGATAGGCCAGCTTTTTGGAGCAATTGCAGTTAAATTTGAAACCAAGATATTGTTTATATAAAAAATTGGTCATTAAACACGTGTTTGTATATTGTACACATGTTAAATGACAGTCGAGTCTTTCCAAGCACTATTATAAACCGAGAGACGCTTTGTAATAAGTTGATGGTAAAAATGGGTCTTTTAAGGCTATTTGCTGTGTTCTTTTTGTTTTCTTCATTGTGGAAACAACAGTGTATTTTAAAGAGACTTTTGCTGGTAAATCTTGTGTTTTAATAGTTTTATTTTTTTATATAAATAATATTTTAATAAATTAAATGCAATTGCTCCAAAAGCGCGTCGAAGCTTATCTACGGAGCTTTCGCTAAATATTTACTCATCAATACTAAATTATATAACAATTTTTTTAAAGAGACAGACAAAACAAATAAAATAAAGTTAATTAAATAGACACACGGACAAACAAGACAACTAGCTGCATGCATGGTTAATTAAATACAGTTGGCACCAAAAATAATTAAATGCAGCCACATGCAAAACGACACGATTCAACTACAAGACACTGAACACTAGTGAACAAACTTTTATTAACAAAAGAAGAAAAATTAGAAATTTTTCCGTTGAGGCGCCACATAAGAATCACAAGATGAGACGAGTTTTTCTGGATGCATTCAACCAATTGATGCCAAGCAAAAGAGCAGCTTATGATTGGCGACCCGTGACGTATTGTCGTGTTATGATTGGCCAATGAACTTTCGACCAATCAGAGCAAGCCACGCAGAAGGACGATGAATATATAAACACGTGTTGTTAAATGACAATCGAGTGTTTCCAAGCACTATTTTAAACCGAGGGACGCTTTGCAATACGTTGATGGTAAAAATGGGTCTTTTAAGGCTATTTGCCTGTGTTCTTTTTGCTTTCTACATTGTGGAATCAAGAGTGTATTTTAAAGAGACTTTTGGTGGTAAGTCTTGTGTCTTGTTTTTTTAATATATAAACAACATTTTAATAAACAGCGGCGAAGCTTATCTAGGCAACTTTCCCTAAATATTTACATATCAATATTGAATTATATAAAAAAGACTTTCAAAGAGACAGACAAAACAAATAAATTTAAAAAGGACACACGCACAAACAATTAAGACAACTAGTTCATTTTACAAAGGCACCAAAAATGATATAAACGCATACAGCCACATGCAAAACGACCCGATTCAACTATAAAACACTGAACACTAGTGAACAAACTTCTATTAAAAAAAGAAAAAAAACAAAAAAATATTTCCGTTGAAGAGCCACATAAGACTAGTTTTTCTGGATGCATTCAACCAAATGGTCCCAAGCAAGAGAGCAGCAGAGGTGAGCAACTTAACGCGAGGAGCAGCATATCGGTCACAGTCAAAAAAGAAGTGGGAGATCATTTGGATACCCACATGCACAAGAAGGAGAGGAAACGCACTTTTTTAAAAATAGATCATAATTTATGAAAAATAGCCGGTAAAAGATCACCGACCTAATATATAATTATAAAGGATTACAAATTGAAACATCAAGGTGTTGATCGATCCGCATATTCGGAAAATACATAATTTATGTACAAATGCTGATATAAGTAAAATGTTTCTTTCTAGATGCGGACTGGGAAAAACGCTGGATTAGCTCGACCAAGAAGGGAAGTGATGCTGGCAAGTTTGTTTTGTCCGCTGGCAAGTTTTATAATGACCCTGAGCTAGATAAAGGTAATAAAACTATATATTGGCTGTCTTCTCTCTTTAATAGTCCAAATGTTTCGCTTATTCCTTTCATTCACATTGTTTTCATACAGGAATTCAGACAAGCCAAGATTCTAAATTTTACAGAATCTCAGCGAAACTTGATGAAGGTTTCTCAAACAAGGGAAAAGATCTTGTGATTCAATTTACAGTCAAACATGAGCAAACCATTGACTGTGGGGGGTGGATACGCCAAGGTATGCTGTATATCTCGCTATATATCACTTTTCAACGTTGAGCCTAAATTTCGTATTGTTTTGTGTTAAGCAGAATATTCATCAAAACAGACTGCTAAAGCATCCAAAGTCACAGATATTAGTATATTGCATTTTTGATCCTGTACACAGTACACTTCCCTGTATTTATAAGGAGGCAACACATTTTGGATGGAGGGCAAAAATCTTTTCCAGAGGTTGTTGTTCATTTGGAAATTCTAAAAAATGCATTTCCAGTATAAACAATCACTTGGAAACTCCAAGCTGCCTCATAAAATTAAAACTCAATATGAAAGGCAATTGGAATGGGTCATCCCAGAAAACATCCAACTTCCCCCGTGGAGGAAATTGGAAGTTAATCCCTTTACCCCCTTCAGATGTCAATACGCTATTATCAAAACGAATCTCTCCTCCGGACTTTCTGCTCCGGACTTCGAAGATTTCTTCCTTGGGGTGAGTGTGGATCTTTTCTGGAACAACCCAATCAAGGCGAAGGGCAATTCGCTCACGCTTCGTGAGAACGATGCTACAGGCCAAGGAGGAATTTGTGTCGTAATTATCAAAAGGGTGTATTCCTGCAGGGGTGTAGGAAGCAGGGGGCTGGGCGAGGGGGGCTGCCCCCCCCAATAGTTTATAGAGAGGGGAAGGGATGATTTTCGGCCACACCCCCCGCCCCACCCCGTACACCTCCTATTGGATTTAAATAATAATCAAAAATTTCTGCGAAATTCTCGAAACTGGAAGTATTTGAAACCGTGTTTATCACAATAATGTATCAATTGTTTATTGTTATTTTAATAACAACATTTTTGCGAGTATGTAAGTGTGACATACAAGTGCGAGTTCGATTGCATTGATGATCGGCAAGTTACTGTAATTACTGTAATATTAATCATGGTGCGGGTCGTTCTTTTTGATTTCAAAAAAGCCTTTGACTTAATTGATCATGGTATTCTCGGAGACAAGCTTACTACCTTCGAAATATCAAAGCGAATCATTGGGTGGATCATTAATTTTCTCAAAGACCGTAAACAGCGCGTCAAGTTAAGCCAAGATTGTTATTCTGAATGGGGTTTGGTTCCGGCAGGCGTGCCCCAAGGGACTAAATTGGGTCCTTGGCTTTTTGCTATAATGATAAATGACCTAGAAGTAGCGGATATAGATTTATGGAAGTATGTGGACGATACTACAATCTCCGAGATTGTCCTTAAACATGAAGCCGGTAGCATCCAATCGCAGGTAGACGAGTTTACAAGGAAATCAACTGCAAATAAATTTCAGTTAAACGAAGAGAAATGCAAAGAGCTTCAAATTACCTTTGCAAGACCTGGGCGTACGTTTACACCCGTGTATGTTAATAATAAGCCGATCGAAGTTGTCCCTTCTGCAAAAATATTGGGCATGCGAATTACGAACGATCTTAAATGGAATACCCACATCTCAGAGATTGTGAAGAAAGTTTCAACAAGACTCTTCTTTCTTTGTCAACTAAAAAGAACAAAAATCTGTACAAAGGATTTACTAACATTTTATCTGACCTGTGTGCGTCCTGTGACGGAACATGCAGCTTGTCCCGTTTTCCACGACTCCTTACCCAATTAGATAGATAGTTTAATGAATCAAACATCGCAGCCAAAAAAGGCTGAATTACAAATGATTTACAAATGATATGAAATAAAATACTAAGTTCATTATTTACAGTTCATTGTTGCTTAATATATTACTACGCTAAAAACTACAACGCCACTTTTCAATTCACGAAGCCAAAAAATGGCTGAATTACAAATGATTTACAATTGATATAAAATGATTTACAATTCATTGTTGCCATGCGAAGATCTGGAGAAGTTACAAAAGCGAGCCCTTCATATCATCTTCCCAACGGTACCTTATGCAGAAGCTTTGGTAGAAGCGGGAGTTGACTCATTATTTAATAGAAGACAAATTCTAACTACTAAACTATTTAATGACATTGCAAATGACGAAAGTCATAAGCTTTACCAATTACTACCAAGTAGGCCTAAGAACTTTTCAAATTATAATATGAGGAAAGAGATCATTTTTAACATTTCTATTAGTAGGACGAATAGATTTAAAAATAGTTTTATACAACATAATTCTACAATGTATTTTAGATAAAGTAAATATTTATTGTAAAGTTAGAAGCGTAATTCAACCCGTGGGTTGTAATGTTTTTAATTAATTAATTAATTAAACTATCTATCTATCTATCCATCCTGGCTCACGGATAGCTTACAAATCATATAATGACAGAATTTGAAAAGGCTTAACGAAAGTGGTGGAGAAGATGCTATTTCGGACGATCTGGAGATTTAAAATTTTCAAAAATTTTCCCGTTCGGCGGAAGTCGGCCCCCCTAATTTTTACTGAAGTCCCCTACGTATACGCACCTATATTCCTGGGAAAGGATGAGTGGGCATATGGTTCAAAATTATAACATACCAATAGACTCCTTGCTTTGTTTGTATGTTTCCTGTTTAAAAAGTTCCCAAGAAAGGTTGGTTATTATGATATGCATTGTTGAGTCACAATGCAGAATCTAATCTTTTGTACATCCTGAATTTGCCTGCCAGGAAGGTTTTAACTAGACAAGGAAGTATGCCTTTCCTCTCTTGTTTGTTTGTTTGTTGCTGCAATTTGTCTTAATTCTTAGCTGTTTTACTCTGTCTCATTTGACCCACATTATGACACTGTATGAACGATGAATAGTGAATTGAAAATAAAAATGGTTTGGAAGGTTGTATATAATCTCTTTATAGGCTCTTGTAATAGAATGTTTGCATGGTATACAATATTTTTCATGCATTCATGTTATGTAATCTTGTAGATATTTGGAAGTGACTTGGACCAAGCTGATATGGATGGTGATACACCCTATAATATCATGTTTGGTAAGTTCTCATGTTTGGAGCTTATAAATGCACAAGAGACTTCTTTAGTGCCAAGGCACTAAGAACTCCCGAAAGTGACATATGGCAACGTTTTTAAGGCATTTAAGCAGTGAATCAGAACGATGAGGGACATGCATACCCACCAAAACAGGGCCCCTTGTGAGGTAGTCCAGTCAACTTTATATTTCTCTGCCACTACTAGGACCTGACATCTGTGGATCTGGAACAAAGAAAGTTCATGTAATCTTCAACTACAAGGGAAAGAACCTCGTGACCAGAAAAGATATCAGATGTAAGGTGTGTAGATGACTTAATTTAGGGTCGGCCATGGGGTTTTGGGTATACAGGATCTAATGGGTATTAAATTCCAGTACACTGTACACTGTATATTTACTTAAATGTTATGACTAATTTTGGGTATTAGGTATACAGCTTCTGGTTGTTTTAGGTATTTTGTAACATTTCGACCATAATAATAGGTATTTTGATCCATATTTATCACGTATTTAGGATACCACGAACCCCCCTGGCTTACCCCTTTAATTAGTACAGCCATGTGGATTAGGAGGTGGAACGTAAGTAACGATCATGGGAAGGTTAACAGTCTCGTGCGGGATGGGAGATTCTTCCTAGCCAATCCTAGGGGACGGGATATTCATCCCACGGGCCGGAATCCTGTGGGATTGGAATTCCGTGAGGGATAATATGTAAAATTTGCTGGCATTTGCTAACTGTCTGTTGTACACATGGTCAAGACAGCTAAAATTGGACGGTTAAACCACGATAGACTACGGCCTCATTTCCGCCCACGAGCGTCTGTGACGCAGGCTAAACCACGACAGCAAGGAACATTTTGCAAAATTGAAGGAAGAAGGCAACACGCCTGGTGTTTCAATAAATTCAAGTTTTATGTCTTATTGCCAAAGTAGAAAAAACTGTGTATGTGATCGTATATTAACTACTGCATAATAATGCACCAAGTTAAACTATGTGTTCATAATGCTACAATAGAACTGTTTGTTTTAGAAGCCATGCCCATGGATAGTTGACAATAAAAGTAGAAATACTTGGAAGAATATTTACATCTTGAAATTTCAAGATGCGAGTCAAACGATATTGGATGTCCATATTCCTATGTATATATTGGCAATAAACACTAAAACAGTGTCGATTGTTGATTTTAACGATTGATCGGTGTTGATAATATATTTTCCAGGGCCTCTTTTAACATATAGACTGGGGGGACATGTCCCCCCAGCCCTCTTACTGCCCCCCCCCCAGTCGGCAATTTTGTCCCCCCTCCAGTGAGGTTCCTAAGAACTACCTGCAGTAGGTGGTCAACCAGCAATTATGTATCAAAGTGAGAAAATGATGTTAAGTTGTTAACGTTTCTGAATTTGACCATCATCTGCAGGCCCGTAACTAGCTATGAGTCAACCAGAGTCCGTTGACTCGGTAGGCCAGAATTTGGGGACTGAAATTTAAACCGCATCGCCAGATCAGAAACCTAAACCATGACTGATATAATTTGCTCGTGCAACAAGGCATGAAATTAAATGGCATTTTAGGACGATGTTTAGTTTTTCCAAGTAAAGATACTCCAAAGAGACCATTCCATCTTGCTCTTCAGTGACACTGAGAAGACGAATGCGTCGATTTCAAGTACCCAATACATGTAATACAGTACTGTAGAATTTGAAGTGTGGTGAATGATAATACTATACCACGCACATTTTCATTACCGCAACTCTTCAAAATGCTGGAAATAGTTTATCTGAGCTTCAAAAATCCAAAATGTTCTGGGGGGGGGCATGCCCCCAGACCTCTCTATAGAGGCTCGCACCTTCGGTGGAAGCATAGTTAATAGAATAGATGGTTTGGAAACTCATTAGAATAACAACATAACTCATTATCTATGTTAGTCAACGTTTATTCATAAAATAGTCGTTCACCGTCACGTGTGTATTGTGTTCTTGCCAAATCCACCAATAGCAATTTTCAATTTACCCTATTGTTCGAGTCACGGATAGGTAACATTCCTAAAACATTCCTATTAGTTAGTTGGGCAAAAATACAATAATACGCACATGACGGTGAACGAGCAGATTTATGAATAAACGTTGACTAACCAGTAGCGTAGCCAGCCCGACGATTTAGTCCCGCTATGCAAATATTTTCGTGTTCATTGACTGTGAAAACAATCAATTGCTAAGGAAATGAATAATGATAATAATTTGAATTTGCATAGCGGGACTAAATTGTCGGGCTGGCTACGCCACTGTGACTAACATAGATAATGAGTTATATTGTTATTCTAATGAGTTTCCAAACCATCTATTCTATTAACTATGGTGGAAGACTCGGTTGTCTCAGAATCCTAGTTACGGCCTGCATGTTCTGCTGCCCTATGACGTATATACTTATTAGTTTAACCATGCATATATATGCTGGTAGCTGCAGTGATACAGACTTGCCGACTGGAACTTCTCAAGGTCCCCCGCTAAATATGTCCTCTCCAGAGGCCCTGTTATTTTCCTCACTGCATGATCAACGCAAGATCAACGCTTATACGTCATGCAATTAAATTTCTTTGAGCAAATCATAAAAGCATGCATGCTAACCTAAATTTAAAAGATAATGCAATAATACTCATTTTAAAATCTTTTATATCGTTTTCATTATTTCATGCTTATTTGCTAACGTCAAAATATAGCATGCAGGATAAAATTCTTTTTCGCAGGACGGCAACTAATTTTATAGGCCATTTTGCAAGTAAAAATTACTTGTATATTGGTAAACATGTGCTGTTGCTGGTTTAGGAAACTGTGCGTTCTGAAACAGTACATTGTTTTTTTGCAGGATGATGAGATGACCCATCTTTATACATTGATTGTGAAACCAGACAACACTTATGAAGTAAGAATTGACAATGAAAAAGTTGAAAGTGGTGGACTCGAGCAAGATTGGGACTTTTTACCTCCCAAGAAGATCAAAGATCCTGAAGCTAAGAAGCCTGATGATTGGGTGGATGAAGCTAAAATCCCTGATCCTAAAGATAAGAAGCCTGATGTGAGTTGGACAATCATGCTTTGATTTTAAAATTGGTCCAGATTACTGCCAATAATTAAGCTAAAAAGTATGACAAACTAATTGTCACAACTAAGTTTTGTATATGCAAACAAACCTTGAAATTGCTTTTGCAGTAATTAGCATGAACAGACGATAAAAGTCTTAAAAGAGTAGATGTTGTGGTTTTGGACAAAATTGACTGAAAAAGAAACATTAAGTGTCTTAAGTGATTATTTAGCAGCCTGGGTGGAAAAATTGTATAAGCATGTGAGCGCTGCTCACAGGAAATTTAAACAGCTGCAGGAAATTATCCTAAGGCTAGATTTAACACAAACTTGCCCTGCAGGAAATTTGTATCATCAGGCTGGGCATGCAGGAAGAAAATTATTTTTTCCACGCATGGAAATTAGGCTGTTTGTCAGGGAATTGGATGCGATTTCTGAACCACATGAGAGGTAGATTAACTATTTTTATATAAGCTTTTTAAAGTAGACCAAAACCACACCAGTTCACTGTATAATATGATATGTTCGAGTATAGTATTTTAACAAAAGTTGCATAACCTGATATGTGACTGTTCACAAACTCAAGTGACTTGTAGCATGTGGAATTTGCTAGATAACTTTCTAATTAAAATATATTTTAGGACTATGACAAACCAAAACATATTCCTGATCCTCACGCCAAGCAACCTGAAGATTGGGATGATGAAATGGATGGCGAATGGGAACCACCCATGATTGATAATCCTGAATACAAGGTAATAGAAAGAAATCAAAGAAAACTGTACAAAATACATTTTTATCCAAATTAAAAAATCCACACAAATCGAAAAGAAAATGTTTTTAATTAATATACATACAGTAAAATGACATTTTGAAGTTTCAGGTAATTTAGAGACATTGCTCAAAAGTATTGTTTCTATTGTTTCATTTTTGTAGACACTGTAGATTTTATATTTTGCTTACATGAATGTATTACTTTGAACATGAAATATGATATGAACAAACCACTTTGTCTTAAACATGTTTTGGTTTCTCAAAGTCTCCCTTTTTCTTTGGCACTTTCATAAATAGGGTGAATGGAAGCCAAAAATGATTGACAACCCAGCTTACAAAGGAAAATGGGTTCATCCTGTAATTGACAACCCAGATTATGCCCCAGATTCAGAGCTTTACAAATTTGATGACATTGGAGCTATTGGATTTGACTTATGGCAGGTATGTGCTCTGTGTTGTATATTTTAAAATATATGCACAATTAATGTTTGTTAATATTCCAAGCAGAATCGTTGAAAATCAACAATATTTTGTAGCTATTTACCCCTATTTTCTCAACCTCTTTAGTGTGTGCTTGTTTTAATAAGTACGAGTTCATGTATTTAGCTGTCATTTTAAAGAGTTTTTTCGTTTAAATGTGGAGATTTTGACCGAGTTTGTTCTTCGTCTTCGGAGCCTTTTTAAGTCGAGTTTTTCGATTAAATTTTAATCTAAACTATTGTCTAAGTGTACTAGATTATGGAAATTGTTTGCCTCTTTATGTTCCAGATATCAGTTAAAGATTTCAACGACATTCGGATAATCGGATTCTTTTGCATGTGTGTGCATTTTTATTCCGCTTTTTAAAACTTTATTTACTAATTTTATAGTAACAATTCGGGAAGCCATTTTGTGTTCGAAATTTTGGACTTTTTAAGCCTTGTTTCCTTCTTTTAAATAAGTTTTAATTAACCAAACTTTGCTTCTATAACGGTCTCTTAATATTATACTGTTTTACGCATAAAGATCTTATATAAACTAGATAGCGCATCTCTTTTAGTAAAATTGAAGCCAAGAATATTCCAGCTGTTACCCCCATTTGAATAGATGGCGGCCATGTTGAAGTTTCCCACTCGCTAATAAACGCTTAAAAAACAGCAATAACTTTCATCATTTGAATAGTTTGAAAATGTATTTGGAATAGGTTTAACTTAGTGTTTAAGTTCCCTGTTTAAGAAATAGAAAACATACGAGTCTTCTCATTTCATGGGAATATCCTGAGTGACAGAGTCTGCAATCACGGCTTCAATTTTTAAATTGCAGAATAATTAGATGCACTATCTAGTGTATATAAGATATCTATGGTTTTACGACATGTATTTTAACTTTTTTAAAACTGACAAGTTGTATTTTTCAAGTCATTCTCGAGAGTTCGCAGCACTGAGTAGTTGTCAACAAGGCCGAGGCGAAATGTCGCCAAAGGAAGCCATTTAAACGCTCATTTCGTTAAAACGTTATTATTTTACATAAAAATCAAGTGAAAAATTCCGTTTTGTAAACCTAATATAATGAACATGTTATGTATTATCCAGGGGGGGGGATAGGGGTATACAAATCCGCAGATCCGCCCAAATTTGAAGCAAAATCCGCGATCCGACAATGGTCTTGGCTAAATTTGAATAACTAAATTGCAAGCTAAATCTACAATCCCAGCCAAAATATTAGATAAATCCGCAATCCACTGTATTAATAAGATCCGCAAATCCGTGTAAAATGTTCGCCAGATCCGAAGTCCGAACAATTTTTTCTGTGAAATCCGGCGATCCGAAAACCTATTCACCCCCCCGTCCAGCAAACAGAAATTATCTCTAAAAGTTTCAACATCTTTTGAAGAATAACTTGTCACAAACATTGATTATTTATTAGCTTTACAATCATATAAAGTGCTATACCAGGGGTGCTATACAATCTATAACAATGATTGAAGTATGGTCAACAGGACAGGAGTCCCATATGAAGACCAAGAGATAGAAAGATAGTTATAGACATTAGAGACAGACAGACAGACAGACAGACAGACAGACAGACAGACAGACAGACAGACAGACAGACAGACAGACAGACAGACAGACAGACAGACAGACAGACAGACAGACAGACAGACAGACAGACAGACAGACAGACAGACAGGCAGGCAGGCAGGCAGGCAGGCAGGCAGGCAGACAGACAGACAGACAGACAGACAGACAGACAGACAGACAGACAGACAGACAGACAGACAGACAGACAGACAGACAGACAGACAGACAGACAGACAGTTCAGTTTATTTTATAGGATGGTATTAACCCTGACTCTTCCACAGTCCCTAACATTGCTTATTCATGCAATGATTCATGGGAATGCGATGAAAATTGAGTATAACGCAAAGGAACATGAGAATGCCCCGAGCGCGAGTTGGATAATTCAGCGCGCGTTGGGTAAGCAACTGGGGACGAGTCAGTGTATTAACCAATCTATATTTTCTATAATGTAGGTAAAATCAGGTACAATCTTTGACAACATCCTTATCGCTGACTCTGTGAGTGATGCTGAAGAGTTTGCAAAAGAAACATTTGACAAAACGAAAGTAGGTGAAAAGAAAATGAAAGATGAACAGGATAAGAAAGAAAGGAACCAGAGGAAGAAGAAATAAAAAAGGACGAAAAAGGTGCAAAGAAAGATGATAAAGAGGAGGTAAGACAAAGTGAAAGTTAAAAGTGAAAGTTAAATGTGCTGATATAAGACAAGTGGAACTTTAGGATTGTACGATTACGATGGTTACGATTATAAATATTTCTATACCACAAATTTCCATGTGGATATGGTCAAATGCGCTTTACATCAAGTATTACGCTTATCTAATTACATACACGGCAAAAAACACCGAGCCCGTTGCTCAATAGGACTGAACAATGTTTTGCTGCCCACGTTGTTCACACTTGTCAACAACATTGAACAATGTTGTTGAGCCTGAATCGGGTGTAACAATATTGTTCAATATTGTTGACAGCTAGGAACAATGTGGGCAGCAAAACATTGTTCAATCCTGTTTTCATCAGTATGCCATCAACCTGAGCGTTTTTTTGCCGTGTACTTAGCCTAGATTATTTTATCTTTACAACAATTGTGATATTACTTTCTTAACTGTGTTTATCCTAACCCACGCTGTCAACTTTCCCTGTTGGAGGAAACCGGAGCACTCTAAGGAAACCCACGACTCTTTTCACATGAGTCCGTAGCGGGAACCGAACCCACGAACTCAGAGGTGAAAGGGGCTTGCTCTGACGACTGCGCCACCGTACCGAAGGATTGTGCTCCCGTAGAATGCGGTGGCAGCTACAATTCAATTTCACCTATTAGTATTTTCTGCTTTTATTTTTGTCTTTTTTGTTGTCTTACATAGTATGCCGAAAACGCGAATTTGTTCAGAAACATTATTGTTTCCTAGCTGTGTTTCCCGAAGTCTATAACATAAAACATTGCCGGAAAACTAAAAATTCACAATTTTGAAACAAAATAAGTTTCTGAATTTGTTGGGAAATATTTCTGTTTTCTGGGAGATCTATAGTTTGTTTTTACAACGTTTTAGGGTTATCACAAAGATTAGCAGAAAAATCGAAATGTTTCCACAACAATGCGTCCATGAAGTTGAAGAAATAAATGTGGAGCATTCTTAATTTTACACTATTTATTATTATATATATTTAATTATAATAATATTTATTAGATATAGCTACAACAGACATGTGACTTCACAAGAAAAACTATCGTATAATACTCTGTACAAGGTTACAATAAAATATGTATCTAAGTTATAATATTACTTAAATAACGACTGTTTAAATCTTTCTGTTTTCACCTTAGGTAAAATGAAATCATGTTCACGTTCTCTTAAGGTGGTCTTCGACCCAAAATTTCCAATATTTGTCATTTTTAGAAAAACAAAAAAATGCGGTCTTTATAGTTATTTTAAAAAATCCGTATAATTTTAAGCGCAAAAATCTATCCTAAATTCCCCATACCTCAATTCCGTAAGAAAATAGAGACACAATAAGTGTGTCGAAGAGAATTGTTAATTTTTCCTTAGAGTAGCCATAGAATCTACATATTCTTAAGATCACATACTACTACTGGCTCTCGATAGCAAATTATCAACTTGAAGGCCTCAACAAGACGGATCATTCTGGAGTGTAATTCCCAATAGTTTCACTTGCGTTCAATACCTGCTATTGGTTCTGGTGGAGGATTTGCTAATTTGCCACTTACAGTCGTTTCCCATGTTTTGGCTAGATTTAATGTCATCCTGTTTGTTTCCGTCCATTTTTCATTATTGTCCACTTCAGCTGGTGCAGAATCATAATTATCTTTAACCGGGGCACTAACAGTTATGTCATCTGCAAATTTGACTAGTAGATTATTGTCAGGATCTTTGACTGTTTTGTAATTACAAGAGCTAAATACTTCGCAAAATCTTTCCATAGCCAATACGGGAGGCCGAAAATAATAAAAAATAATGAAAAAATCACGTAGAAATAATGAAAAATTTCTCGCGCGCGTGTGACGGTAAATTGATATTTCACTTCCCTTGGCCTAAAGTATGTTACACAAATACGATCCAAACTGACCCAAAATTACAAATAATTTTATGATTATAATAATACGGTTCTCACAGTTGACATACAATAGCGGCTAAAGACAGAAATCTTACATACTGCAGCCGCCAATCGCCATTTTGAAAAATATTGCATCATTTATTAAAAACAATCCATCAAAATGCTGTTTATAAGTCGTACTTAGAAAATATACTCGTCTGTAGTCGTTATTTGTAGTTGTCTGTTACTCCTTTGTCCTCGTCTGTTACTCGTCTGTTACTCGTCTGTCCTCGTCTGTTACTCGTCTGTACTCGTCTGTTACTTGTCTGTTACTTGTCTGTTACTCGTCTGTACTCGTCTGTTACTCGTCTGTTACTTGTTTGTTACTCGGGTGTAGTTTTAGAAACGATCTAGACCAACAGCCTATGAACTTCCACAGCTCGATCGACGGATTGTGATTTGAACTGGTCTGCGAAGGATATAATTTTCTATGCATTTCATTACATTAGAATATAGTGCATTAAATACTGTATTTCATTACATTAGAATATAGTGCATTAAATACTGTATGAATGAACGTGAAGACATGGACAAAGTCATGTAATCTTTCTTCATGCTTGATGCATTTTGGAGTTTTTTGGTAATGTCAGTCCTATTCCGTTGCAATTGCAGTTCATTATAGGACAGTCACTTTGTTTATCTCTGTACCGCTCATCAAGATTAACACGTCAATGATCAATAATTGCATTGGAACAGCCTGGTCCTGAAGTTAGTTTGAATAATTGTATTATACAGACTACAGAGTGTGAAATCGACATCAATTTTATAGTTAGTAGCAGTTTCAGTGTGCTTTTCTTACGTCGCTCTGTTCAAGCACCTTGTTGCAATACATACGGCATTTGAGAGACATTCAAAAACATGATCGCCAGAAGTAAATGCATTTTCCCAAAAACATGATCCCCAGAGGTAAATGCATTTTGTTTATATCTTCAGGTCTGAAATTAATATCGCTATCTGCATGATCAATCGACAATCTGTTAATATTTCACCGTAAACCAGTTCTATTTAGCACTTTTTACATTTAGTGCCTGAGGATACCTATTTATCTAGACTTTCCCAAAGTCCTTTCCAGTTTTTTATTCGAGATCGACTTGTGGGCAAGTCTACTATTTATCAAGCCTGGATTCGAACCAGGACTCGAGCTACAATCTCGTTGAAAAATTATTGAGACAACTAAGTCATTGCCCCCTCCCTCCACAAACAATGTTGGACAAATTAACGATGCAAAGGTATATTGTCAGGTCAAATTTTTTCAACATTGTATGGGCCATGGGGAGGGGGGTGAAGTAATCATGGAAATAGAACGAAATATCGGCATGTAGTAAAACACTGACTACCGGAACACCGGAACACCACCGGAACACCACCTAACCCTAACCCCAACCCCCTAACCCTAACCCCAAACAAAATGGTGGTGTTCCGGTGTTCCGGTGGTGTTCCGGTAGTCAGTGTTTTACTACATGCCCGAAATATCAAACGTCTCATTATTTTTGCACGAGATTGCAGCTACCTGTCGGGCAACAAGGTTCTTTTAATTTTAAACACGTTTACACTATAGAGTTTTTGTCATGAAATTTGTCTCGGGAAACATTGTCGAGTTTTCGGGAAAACAAAATTATTTTCCTCAAGAGCAGACATTAAATGCATATATATTATTTCCACTAATAATTTTGAATCCTGAGACGAATAAACAGAATTACGAAGATATTCGGAAAAGTATTCTTAAACCTCCTCCACCAACTCTGAAGCCAAAGGTTTTCTTTCATTTGTGAGACGATTTAGCGGTACACCTTTGTAAAACAACAGTGCGCATGCCGAGTGAATAAGGTTCTCTGGTAAACCCATTGGTAAACCGCGCGATAATTTGATGAATTTATTTCAGAAAAGATTCGATTCTAAACACTACATGTGTACAAAACTCACAAAAAACGCTAACTAGATTTGTACAAAACTCACCGGATGTGACGCACGCTGAAAGTGGTGAAACTGATTGGTACTAGTAACCCTGGCTGGATCCACCACTGTTCATACCACCACTATTCAGATTAACCCATTGGCAGATGATGCACCTATATACTGCTAATTCAATTAAGGTTGTCCTTCCAAAAGCTTAAACCTTAAACTCTGCGCGCGCAAGGGATGATGGATCATTGCTTATTTAGACTCATAAACTTTGAAATTCGGCTTTGCATGCAAGAATACCTGAGATATATACAAGATTCACGACAGAAAATAGTTGCTGCAAAGGCAATTTTCTGAGTTTGTGGGTCTAATGTGAAAACCCATCATCCCTTGCGCTCTCAGAGTTTAAGGTTTAAGGTTTTGGCATGACAACCTTAATTGACCATTTGCGTAATAGACTAAATTTTGAACTAAGCAAGTCTAGACAAAAATTTCATCACAGCTTGATGGAGCATCACAAAATTAGTAATATTCCAAAGTTTCGTTGCAAAATGTTGTAAAATGCGGAAAATATAACCTTGCGAAATTTGCAATTTTCAGTCATTTTAGATTACAAACGGGAAATTGACAGCCCCAAACCCTTCGGAGGCTGTCAATTTCCGGTTTGTAATCTAAAATGACTGAAAATTGCAAATTTCGCAAGGCTATATTTTCCGCATTTTACAACATTTTGCAACGAAACTTTGGAATATTACTAATTTTGTGATGCTCTTTCAAGCTGTAATGAAATTTTTGTTCAGATCAAAATTTAGTCTATTACGCAAATGGTCAATTGAATCAGCTGTATACTTGTTTTATACTGTCAAGTTACACGACTTTACTCATTAAAGGGAGGAGTGCGAATCTTGGATATTAACAAGTCGAAAGGTAGGGCTGTGTTCGATAAATCTAACAATTTTTTTTTCTTCAGAAATTTATTAATATCAACAATAATCAGATCATGTACCCAATAGAACAGAGTTCGTCTACTATCCGCGTTTCCGGGACACTCAACTTTACTCTGGAAATTCAACAAAATATGAATTCTTTTCATTGAACCCGCAAAAGCTGCACCTTTTTGGCGGATCGTCATGCCAGGCAAATACAGTGATAATCCTTGAAGGGATAACTATAATGACATTCTACATTATTGGCGTACGGAGGGAGAGGGGGGGGGGGGAGGACCAAAGAGGTTGGGAGAAATTTGTGACAAAATTCAGGTTATTTTATTACAATTCTCCATAAAAACTCGGACAAACTTTGGAATGATCTCCTGTAAGCTTATCACTTTTGACATTGTTGACGCGAAATAAAAGGAACCTTGTTCATCTCATGCGACTGTCTCAAACTTTCGTACATCTTGATCGCATATACACTAAAATAACCAACATGAGCTCCATCTTTGAATTTACTATACGAGCAAATTCTTAAACATGTCCGAATTTATCATTATGATAAATTCGCGGCACATTTTGAATTTATCATAATAATAAATTCGCGGCACCTAACACTAACCCCAACTCTAACCACTAACCCCCTAACTTTTTAAACTTTTCTAAGTGCCATTGCATTTATAACAAGAAGCCTTGTCTAATGCTTGTGGTTTTATGATTAACTCTATTGATAAATTCAAAGTGTGCCGCGAATTTATCATAATGATAAATTCGGACGTGTTTAAGATTTTACTCATATAGTAAATTCAAAGGTGGAGCTGATGTTGAAAATAATAAACCCATGCCAAATCAAGTCGTATGCTTTATGTACAAGTATTGTTGACTGCCGATGTCAACAATACTTGTACATAAACCTATACACGAAATGTATAATTTTTATTTTGATCTAAAAAAGAGCAGGAAGGTGCAAAACTATACTTTACATATCCAGGAATGTATATAAACATTGTCAGTAATAAGTTCAGGTGTTAGGGCTAGAATTAGGGAAAACGTTAGTGTATATTATTTTTTTGCAGGGCTAGCTTCAGAAAGGTCATACCTGTTTTTCACACATACAGACTTGAAAACTCACCCGCACCTTTGCACCAAGCCACCCAAAATTTTTCAAGATAGGTTGTTTAGACTTTAGAGGTTTATAATAATATGCAGGGGCGGCGCTAGAGGGGCGGGGGACATCCCCCAGTCGTTAGGTATTCGGCATATTATTGTATCCCAGTCGGAAAATTGTTTTCCCAGTCGGCAAAACATGAACTGGATATGGAAGAATCTATTAAAATATTATCCGAATAAAATACATCATTGATCATTAATGAAAGAGAAGAAACGGATGAAATTAATTTATATATTAGATGAAAATTATATTCGGTCAGTGTAAATTATGTGAATTTGTACACTAACTTGCAAACTCGTAAAATAGCCGACACCAACACAACAGCAAAGCCCTGACAACAAAATTAAGTGATAGCACCATTTCTGAACTGCACGATGCCATCCAATTAGGCTTTCTCACCAAGGGCAAGGCCAAAATTCGCCATTTTTGGGGTACTGTCTGCCCTCGTGAAAGATTCTAGACAATTCAAACAACGTAAAAATCGATTTTTAAAAGCTGTAACTGTAAATTTACCATTATACAAACAACTACTAAAACGTTGTATTTCATGGCCGTGAGACTCTCAAAAGTAGGAGAGGCAGTACGTACCCCAAAAATGGCGGAAAGATCGGCCGTGAGAAAAACTAATTACCTCGCATATACAATTTAAATGCTTGATTGTAAAGGTAGCTATACTACAAAAATATGAGTTATCCAAAAATTAGAATTGGGTGACAATGGGTATAATATGAACATGTACTAGTCGACTCTGCATGTCAACCACTAGCCTGCGTGTCAGGCTCTATGCTTGAAATAGAGCCTGCTACTATTAAATAAAATACGATTCGTACGCAAAATTCCCATTGGTCAGAAATAAATAGCCTTGCCTTATAAGGTAATATCAAGTTGTTGTTTACATAATATGATATTCCGTACTGGTAATTGTACTTTTGGCCGCATTAATTACTACCTTTGCTGTCTATAAACACGGTCAATAACCGTTGTTATTATTTAGTATATAATTCCTGGCCGTTTAATGAAAATTGGAATATTTATTTTCGAGATAATGGCGGGAAAATTGACCGTTATTGTCATTTTAAATTAGCTTTGATAATCTAATTAACAATCGCCGTTTTGATTGGTTGTTATTTTCGTGCCTCCAAATGACTGTCCACTTTTCATCGTCTTCAGTAGCAGACTCTATTTCAAGCATAGAGCCTGACACGCAGGCTAGTCAACCACAGGCGACATGTGTCGTGATAATTTGTACTACTGTAATGCGCCATACAGACGAACAAGTTTTCCTTGACAAATTTTAAGTACGCAAAGTTTAAGTACGTTAAAAGTAGCCTGCGCGCAGGCTCGCGACATCGTCTCAAACGATGTCGCTTGAGACTGCGCCGCGCAGGCTACGTTGAAAGTTGCTTCCCACCAAATTAAAAATAGGCACTTGAGGAGTACGTAAGGATTTGCAATTTTGTTGTCAATTTTATAATGCAAGAAAGATGGAAAAATATCGCCCAAAATGTAGCATAACAAAACACAACATCATGACAAATCTTTTCTTTGAATGTCAACTTTTGTTTAATTACTGTTATATTTTAAGTTAATCTACTACAACTTTTAAATGGCTTTATTACTGCCTGAAAGATAAAAGAAAAACTCAATTTGTAGAAATGTTGAAGATATTTAACTTTGGTGGATAAAAAACAACAACATTGTTTCGATGTTTCCGCATACCGCAACAAGCAATTACATTTCTAATTAATTTCCAATAAATACGAATGAAAAATGGAACAATACAGTTTTCGTGATATTTGCTGTGTTGGTGTAATGTACTCAGGTGAACAAGATGCTTGTGATGTTACTCTGAGTGTATATCCACACCGGGCAGGCTTAGTAGGCTTGAAAAATATGCCTGGGCCAAGCATAATACAGTTTTATAGTGGAAACACCGCCTTTAATTTTATTTTATAACTCCGCTCTTCTCCGCTCCTGGGTTGAACGAATTTGACTTTCAGGACCTTTTCCATTTGTATTTCTAGCACAAAACAGTCATATATTCCTTCGTTTACCTCAAAGTAAGTGGTACCATGGATTGTAAAATAACTGGATAGGAAACTTCCTGACGTCACAGTGGCTCGGCATTTTTGTTGTTTCGCTATACTTTCCGCTTTAAAAGAGTAATATTGAAGCATAAACTGGTCTAATTGTTTTAAAAACATGTCTAAGCCACGACAAAGTATTCAAGGTAAATGTTTTTCGTCTTTGTTTTGTATTTTTTTACATTTGTAGCTACGAAATTGGCGTCGCCAATTTTAACGAAATTTGCGATGCATTTTTCACTGTTTAGTGCTTGAAATATTTGCTAAAATTGACCGGGAATACTTCGAGATTTCATCGTAGAATGGCCTAGTTATATTTATTTGCTCTTTGACTAAAATGTTTAGCCGTATTATCGCTAAACATGCCATTTTTGAGAATTTGGTTTGCAACTAGGTTTCAACGCCATCATCCCATTGAAAACATTAGGTCACGTCAGCTAGTTTCCTATCCATGTATTTTATTATCCATGGTGGTACAATGTTTAGTCGTAGGTGTATTCTACGAAAATGAGCGGGTTTTTTGCCCGAAAGATTGCGAATTGATAACGACAAATACAAATGGCGGATAATAGCTTCCGGCGTTTTACGAATTCTCAACTCGGAACTCAACGTCAATTATCTTACGTCATTCGTGTTACATCTTAAAATCTATCTTACATCTTACACACCCGATGACATAAAGGATTTCGCTTCGCAAATCCTTACAAACAGATGAAATTGTTCACGAATTTCAAGGAAAAACTTGTCAATTATTGCCATACACACAAACAAATAAAAGTTGTCACGAATAAAAAAATAAAAACTTGCCAAGGAAAACTTGCTCGTCGGTGACATGTGAAAACAAATTTAATAACTGTATTACTTTTATAGATACAAGTTTGGTGCGTATCTCCCTGCGAAGGTTACTCAGTTTCATTTAATGACACACGGAATCAATAGAGGTTTACGGTTTTAAAATGACATCCAGTGCTTGGACAGCTAAATCTTTGACGTCTGAACGAATATCAGAAGTTGCCCTCACTTTTAATATATCTACAACACCTTCATCAGAACACAACTGACCATAACGTTCAACTATAATATAAATGTAGAATATAAAAACGGTTTGAGGCGTGATTACATTCGAATACATGGATATGTAGACATATCTTAGGCTATAGTGCCGTTTTCAATAAGATCATTGTGTGTTTGTAGCAGAGGGTCCTTGCATTTCCGAAGATATTTTAGTTTTATCTTTCAAAAATGGCTCTTTTGGATTGAGACCAGGGAATTCTGAGCGAAATTCTTAACGCAAACACAAGTTTTAATGGCGTGATGAAAAATTATGAAAAACTGTCCATATTTTTTTTCAGCAATTCTAAAAAATTATGTTATATTTAAGACAGAGCATGCAGTTGTTATAATGCATATTATGAAAAATCAGGTCATTCACCTTTTTGAGAACAAACATGGTGGATCGCCCAGATTGCCCACAGTTGAACATCAGGATACGGAGAACGCAGCAACGGAAGAAAAGATTTGAATGTTCTACGAAAAGATCCAAAATACATTAATGATTACTTTAATTCTATTTAATATAATTTCTTGTATTGTAGGATTTACTGAGCATTATCGTGCAGCAGATCAGTGATGTAACTTAGCGCAGCGCTCATTACGGACAAGTAGAAGTTTCTTCTGGGTTGTCCTAAGCGGGAAAGTTTGTTTCGCCAGAAAGTAATTGCCACACTAAACTGTGTACTTGTTTATGATGTGCATTCTGTTTTTGATTCTTTATTAGTAAATCAGCTGAAATCAACACTTCATGTAGGGGCGAAACTAGCCTCTTTTAATTAAGGGGGTGTCTGCTACAATTGCCCTGCAAAAGCCGATGATGCCCTGCAGCAAATTTTTTTTGGCCACTATTTTCCCCAAAAATGTTGGCGAGCGAGGGGGGGGGAGGGGGGGGGAGAGTCGCCCCTCGGTTTTGGAAAGAATACAAATTGGTCCCCCCCCCCCCATGGCTACGCATCTGAGCATTATAAAATTAGTTAACTTTATATCTGTGCTCCAGAAGATCTACCTGTATCCGACCATCACTGTTTCAACTTTCTTCCATCGGTTAACCGCACTACCCTGTAAAATAAAGAGTCGGTTCAAATAGAATCGCTTTTCATTGTACAAGTAATGTGGTGCACGGGAAACTTACCACAGACAACAAGAGGTCAGATTGACTACCACAATCTAGTGTCAGTTCATCGGGCCAGTCAAGTATTAAATTGCAAAGTGTTCCCGCGGCAAAATAACTCACGTCCATAGCATAATTCATATCCAAATATTTTCTGTTCATGAGAGAAAATAGATTGAATGTGCATTTAGTTCATCACTTTTGTTATTTTTCCGACAAGCATTTTCCCACCCCTCTAAGGTAGCTCCCTCTAATTCCATTCATCACGTGATGATAAGATTAGTTTTGTATAAATGTTTATTATTGAACCAGCAAAGTTATATGAAAATAAAACTACAGTGGTAAACTATTGCTCATGCTGGAGCTTGTTATTTCATATATTTTTTTGTGAAAAGGGGGTGAAATATATGTATTGTATTGTATTGTATTGTATTGTATTGTATTGTCGTAATTTTGGTGCATTAATACGGAGACCCAGAATAAACACATTAGAAATACTGCTATTTGCAAGCTACCATTAGGCGTGAGATTTTTTTCATGTTTGTTTACGTTTCAAACGTTCAGGTTTTGACCGGAAAACGTTAACGTTTTGAGCAAGCCAATCAACGTTTGGCGTGGTGTTCAATGAAACGTTGCTAAGATCGTGGCAAACGTTGATTGGCTTGCTCAAAACGTTAACGTTTTCCGGTCAAAACCTGAACGTTTAAAACGTAAACAAGCATGAAAAAAATCGTACGCCTAATGGTAGCTTGCAAACAGCAGTAAGGTAAAAGGCAGAGGGTAGAAGGGGAAGCACGGATGTCTGACGATGTGATGTCAATGCGTTTACTGCAGGTCAAGGACAGCGGAGGATGATTGTTCGAAAGTCGGTTAGCCTAATCCTAGGTTAACAAAATCTTCCCAACAGCTTGCTTATAAACATGCAAATATTTTTTTTAGAAATCTGGTCTAGATCAATAGAAGTTTTATTTTCTGAAGTATTGAAATAAACAGACGTGCAGAAACATACAAACCAAACAGCATGCTAAATTTTAATCCAGGGCACAGAGTACTTAAATACAGAGGTCTCACTTCAGGTTAATTTAGTATGAAGAATTTTTCAGTCCGCCATGTTCTTAGCAAGTGCCCTAAAAAGAGGTCGTCACCCCCTGAAAACATATTGAAATTTAATGTTCCAGGGGGTGAATGCCTCTCTTTTGGGCACTTGCTAAGAACATGCCACCAGCTATTTTAGTAAAAACTACATTACGGTTTTCCCGCAGAAGTGAGACCTCTGTATGTAAGTACTGTGTACAACTGGTCCAAGATATTTACTTAGGTTGGCTGACAGGACTTTTTTCTATCTATGACAATTTTTCTTACCGGAGCGTAGACACCAATTCGTTACATATCAGTGTTAGTCGGATACCAACCACTTCTGCTAAGTTATTCTAAAGAGATAAAACGTGTTGTAAATACTGTAATATTTCCAAACGTGCGGGCCCTCCAACTGGAAAGGGCACTAAATAGTAAATCTTATATTATATGAAAACCTGCCCGTCTGCTTCCGCGGAATTAACGGGATGATTGCTCTCTCCACCGCAGAGGCTTACATGAAGTTTCTAGGGAGGGAAAGTGAGCGCGCAGAGGGTGATGCGAATATTTTATTCAGGAAACTTCATGTGAGTTATTTGTAAATACTTAATAAAAGGAGCCTCTGCGGAGGAGATGGGGATGATTGGCTAATATATTGTAATATAAATATTATTGACTAACCATAACACCAAGAAGTTTTGTCAATACTTCATTCTTGTCATCAAATTTCTAAAAAATAAATATTCACTTAGCGAATGAAAACGAATTATTATTAACTCCATAGACAGTAAAACGTCTACTGAAGGTAGACAGTTTGTACAACCGTATAGTACAAAACAAGGGCTGGAATTCACGCGTGGACAACAAACACATACACGCGTAAAAACGAACAAGTTGTAACAAACCTGCAGCAGACTTGTAGCAATGCTGTTCCAACAACTTGTCAACAGGATGTGTTCGCACTGCTTGTTCCCAGCTTGCTGACAAGTTGTCAACGCCTTGTTGGCAACTTGCTACAAAGTTGTTGAGCTGAACAGACTTGTTACAAGTTGTTCCAACTACTTGTTATCGTCCTGTAATTCAACAATTTGTCAACAAGTTGTGAGTGACAACCTTGTAGCAACTTGATAAAATAACAGCGTTGTTACAACTTGTTGACAAGCTTGCTACAAGCCTGTTGCGAACACGTCTTGCTGACAAGTTGTGAGATTTTTACATATGTACAACA